ATAATAACAGCTCTACAATTACGTTTAAAAGACTAAAGTTCTCTTAGTCAGTGAAAAAAAACCTAGCTCTTTGTCTTTCAGTGGGAGACAACAATTCAGTGACATACATATAGCAGCAAGTACTTTAGTAGTCTTATATAAATGACCTAGTGTTTGAAGTTTTCTACATTTATAATTAGTTCTAATCATGCTTGTCATGCACTGATATACCTTTAATATCTCCAGTAACAAACTTGACAGATTCCGTAGTTTAAACACTTCTCAAATGACACAATTGCATGTCATGTGCTTGATATCCATATACTAGAAGTTGGGAAAATTACATGAGCTTTTGTACTAAGTCTAAGAATATTAAAAATCATGTGATAAAAATAAACCAATCATATTAGCTTATGGTTCGTTTTTTGTCACATGATGTTTTTATATTCTTAGGATAAATACTCAGGTAACCGGAAGCAGTACTAAAATGCGGTCCCCTGCAAATAGAACTTCCGGCGTTTCCGCCTACAAGTAAAGTTATATTTAGTACGCTACATTCTCCTGTCGACCACCAGTTGGTCCGTACGTTAGGATTCAAACTGCGCTTTAATTTAATTAAATATTTTGGGATCAAAATACTATCAAAATGAAGAGGAAATTGAGACGAATACATTGGTGTACGACCAAAATATTAAAACCAACGATACCAAAGTTATCAAGTATCAAACGTACTGCATTTTTAATTTGTTTAATAATTTTGAGCGATTTGTCAACAATACAATTTCGCTCATTAAAACTGCACTTTAAAACCTTAAAAATAAAATATTTGGGGCTCTAAATACTATAATAATGAATAGAAAAGTGAGGCGAATCCACTGGTATACAGCCAAAAACAAGAATAAAGCCAACGATACCAAAGTTATCATGGATCAAACGTACTGCATTTTTAATTAGTTTAATAATTTTGAGAGATTTGTCAACAAAGCAATTTCGCTTGACTTTCAAAGGCCATAAATCGCTAGAATACTGTTGTTTAGTAATACATTCGACAACCGTAAATACAATTTCTTACGCTGAATCAAACGGTGGTATTTTTTGTAAAAAGAAATTCAGAAAACATGAAAGGTTATTTTGAGCGGCTTGTCTTTCAAAAGCCGTGAATCGCTGGAATAGAAATCAATTATGAAATCAATTTCTATCCGTAAATACAACTTTTTATGCTGATTCGAACAGTGATATTGCTGCCCTTGGTAGGCGGATACAACCAGAGATAAACCCCAGCTAACAAACTAACAAAGAAACAAACAAACAAACGAATAAAATCACAAGCGGAATATAAAGCGGTACCAAACTTGGCACGGCACCGCAATATAAAGCGGTGCCAAACTTTGCAATTTCCCCGAGCCCCGCTAGCAATTCCGGCCGAAATGCCTTCGCTCGAAAGGTCGAAATTCTCCTTATATTTTTCATAGTTTTCAGGTAGTTGCATCGCCACCAACGAAAGCTTGGTACTACTTTTGGCACTACCTATACAGGCATAGACTGTTCAAGAATATACTAGCAGTACATTCTAGAACTGCTAGATGTACACACTAGAAGAATCCCGGCAAACTTCAAAGCCACAACAAAGATGTTGAATTGTACCCCACCGTGCACAAATCTTTTGTCTTAACTTCATTAAATCAGTTCCGATCGTGGCTGCACGTTTCATCCAGCTATCCCTATTGGACGATTACTTAATTATACCAAACTACAATGAGGTTAATCACCGTGACCGTGCACATATTAACATAAACTCAGACAAAACATATAACAAGCACTTCTGTTTAGTTTCCAGACCATCATGTCCTTCATATATTGATAGACTATATGCTAGAAGTGCATCGCAGATCCGCCCTTATTCTACGCGGAAACGCCGAAAGTTTTATATGCAGTTCTAAGCCTTTGGCAGCAATTCGTTGTTAATATATCTTTCATACCATCGGTACATTTAAAAAAGAAAACCAAATCTAGAAATTCATGCCAATAATACAAAGGAATGAAATCTAATGCTACGAGCTCGAGTCTCTGGTAGCTGATAGCCTACAAGTAAAGTTATATTTATACACTACATTCCTCCTGTCGGCCGGCAGTTGGTCCGTACGTTAGGATTAGAACTGCGCTGAAATATAAATATAAAAAAGATGAGAAAAGAGAAAACCAACTGTACGCTAGTTATCAAGGATCAAACGTACTGCATTTTTAATTAGTGTAACCATTTTAAGCGATTTGTCACCCATCTGAATTTCGCTTGACCTTCAAAGGCCATAATCACAGTAGCGTAGCCAACCCGTGGATTAATCACGCTATGCAAATATTTTCATGTTCGCATTGACTGTGAGAGCAGTCCATTTCTAAAGAAATTAATGATAATAATTTTGAACTTGCATAGCGGGACTAAATTATCGGGCTGGCTACGCCACTGGCCATAAATCGCTAGAATACTGTTGTTTAGTAATACATTCGACATCCGTAAATACAATTTCTTACGCGGAATCGGTGGTATTACGGTGGTATTTTTGTCCTTATTGGGCGGGTAAAACCACAGTTAAGGCGCAACAAAACCCATTTTTTAAACATAAACGTTTATAAAAATTCATATATTATTAGAAATCCTAGAGTACGGTGCAAGTTTATTTCAATTGTTTATGTATGACTTTGTATCAATATAGACTTTGTTCTTGATGTTCAATCTTTCCTATGCATTGTTTGTGAAAGTTTCAAAGGAAAGCAAAATATTTTCATTAGCATCCTGTACGAATTAAATTTATTTTATTTCAAAGTGCGAGTAATAAGTTGAAGCTCGGGTTGTAGACTTTATAAATATCGGCAAAAGCAGTTAATTTCAATTCACATTTAAAACCGTTTTACGTAGAGTTTCGTTTTGAATTTTACACTAAAATAAAGCACATAGAAACCAAAATAATATACCTACTTTATATATTTTAGAAATTAATAGTTTGGTACTTAAAAGTCTTCAATTTCATCTATTTTTTGCAGGTTTGTACAAAAAATTTTACGAAAATTTATCGTGTTGCCATGACTAACATGACGTGCCAACGCGAGCCTGCGTTCAGTCACAGATGAGGTAAGTACAGATATGAATCTCACGGCAAATTATGTCACACCGATTAAATAGACTTTAAAATTGGATTAATTCACTATTTGTAGCTACCGTTTATCAATTTATATTGTTCTCAATCCACATTAAGTTATAGTTCAGTGGCGGGTTGGGGGTCTGAAACGTAGTCAAAAACCTCGAGGTTAAACGGCCATATTGGAATTTTGGAAAGTTTATTGTAAATATTTAAAGTTGGAAGTTGTTTTTCTGTCTGCGTTTCGAACAGTCCGGTTAGTGACAGTCATTTAAGTACTTGGAATTGGAATTATGTTTACTTTACTTTATTTAACAGTATTATTGTCAGTGGCGTAGCTAGCGGTCCTGCTTGTCCTGCCCAGCAGGACTAAAAATTTCCCTAAATTTTCTTACTAAAACATTGCCTTATTTATCTTGAAGCTCTAAAAATTTATCATTATCATATTGTTATTTGTCTCATTTTCTCGTCTTTTTTGTTATTATTTTTTAAAAAGTTTTTCGCATTCTGTTACATTTACGCAATTTTACAGCTTGCCGTGTCTGTTACCTAGCAACTGCAACTCTACATTGATTTACACGCGACTCGTATTTCAGTCCTGCCATTTTCAAATGGCAGGACTAATTGCTACTATATTTCATAGTAAATGCAAGAAATCTTGGTTTCTGATTGGATAATTAGGTCTGCGCATACTCAAACCGACTGTTTACAAATGCGAAGTCCTGCTCTCTCGAAATGGCAGGACTTGGCCTTGTATTGTCTTTACTTGTGAGCTTTCCGCGAGACTAAACCCACATTTTACTTATTCTGTCGAGATTACTCAAGTTATGAATATGGAAATCAACTAGTGTGGAAGCCCAATGTGATTTTGATATAATTTCTGGTTGCTGCTAAGATATTTTAGCTCATGAAATGCATGTGAACCACACTGTAAATTAAAAAGGGCTGAAACGACCCCAAAAATGGGGCCAAAACGGTGACCGCAAAATAGATCTTTTTTTGGGGTCAAAATGGCACCTATAGCAATGCGGCCCCTAGGGGTGATTTGGCCCTTCCAGTGTAAGGGCTGTTTCAGCTTTTAGTAGGAGCTGTTTTGGCAAAAGCAGGGGCTATTTCAACTTTCAATAGGGGCCAATTCAGAAAATTAGGGGGCTATTTTGGCATTTCGAGGAGTTAATTTGGCTCCCATTTGTGGTCATAATGAACCCCAAAAAGCGTCGATTTGGCTCGCTAACCGGAGCTGTTTTGGCTACTGAGTTACAGAGTAGTTTCAGCCCCAATGAAGAGCTGCTTTAGAACCGACGGAGCCGATATAGCTTTACTAATGGTGTAGTTTTTTAGCACCCAAAGGGCCAATATGGTTCTATTTCTGAGCCATTATAGACCACAAGAAAGGCCAATTTAACCCCTACTTTTTTAACCAGAGCTATTTTGGCCCTCTCAGAAGAGCACAGTTTCAGCCCCAAAGAAGAGCTGCTTTAGAGCCGAAGGAGCTAATATAGCTTTTTTCATGGTGTAGTTTGTAGCACCCAAAGGGTCAATTTGGTCCAATTTCAGAGCCATTATAGATCCAAAAGAAAAGCCAATTTAACCCCTACTTTGTTAACCGGAGCTGTTCTGGCCCTTTCAGAGGAGAGCAGTCTCAGCCCCAATGAAGAGGTGCTTTAGAACCGATCGAGCTGATATAGCTTTTTGGTGGTGCCGTTTTATATAGCATTTAAAGTCATGTGCATGGATTTGGTTGCACTCTTGCATGTAGACGTATTCTACATGTATATAATGAATCAGGCAAAAATATTGGGGTTTATTTGGTCTTGATTAAATTACTACAATTTCTCCAACAGACCAAGATTGGAATGAATTATTGCAATATAAGTTGAGATAAATGTTCCAATTTCTGTATTATAAAGACAATACTATAACTAAAATTACAATATACATGCACAGTAGTCAGTATTATGGATCTCACCGAAATGTGGGAACCATCAAAAGATTCGTACATATATGCCATATGGCTCCGAAAGTTTACAATTCTAATTTTAAAGAGCAATCAACTTGTGATAGCAATAGCAGGCGCGGTTGTTAACATGAACGCAATACGAATAATTTCTAATACATTACCACAGTTCGGTGAGATGTGAGACAATACACACATTCCATCAATAACATTAACTTGGGTTAGCATATTACGAAAGTCACCGAACTGTGGAATCGCATCAAAAATTCGTATATCGACCACTCCCACAAACGTCTACGACCACGCCTACATTCGACTACATAGTTTTGCATGTTTACAATTCTAATTTTGAACAGCCAATCAGGTTCTTGGTAATTGGCTGTTTAAAATTAGAATTGTAAACGTGCAAAACTATGTAGGCGCGGTCGTAGACGTTTGTGGGAGTGGTCGATATACGAATTTTAGATGCGATTCCACAGTTCGGTGACTTTCGTAATATGTCAACATAACTCTCAAAAAGTGTAAAATTACTGTAGTACTAATACTCATGAGTCATGACAAGTCATTGAAGAGGGCTACTATAGTCTGCAAAGCAGACAAGATGCTCTTCGTGTGGCAGCACTCAATATTGAAGATGTAAAAACTTGCCAATAAGGCTATAATTGCATCAAAACAACTGTTGCTTGTTATGGAACTTTCATCCTTTCCCTCGATAACGTATGATTGACAGTTTCTAGTCGTATTCTAGCAAGTTCGATGCCAACGACCACAATATGGCTTGTGATAAGTTTGAAATTGTATCATTTGCATCTTCAGACTCCTACAAAAAAAACCCAATTAGAATGTATGCAATAATCCGCAATTACAGGGGGTTATAGGACACATAAGATATAAGGTCTCACCAAGAAACCCAATAATAAAGCTCTTACATACATCAGACACAAAATACCTGAAAAAGTATATCACACCCGACCCCTATAACTCTTCCAAAAGCATTAAGTATAACATGACTTAGATTCTGCACTTCACTTGGTGGAATTAATATTAGAATCATGATGAAGTCCACCTTATCACAACTCGCACACCCGATTACCTATATATACATGAACTTACGGTTACAGCTTAACAGCTGGCCTCTGTAGCTCAGAGCGCTGCACCGGAATCGCAGGGCCATAGGTTTGATTCCTACCAGAGGACCTTGTGCTGCATTTTTTGCAGTTGTTCCTGGTTAGGTCTTAAAATGTATATATTCTCACTTGGATTCATTCTAATATTAATTCCACCAAGTGAAGTGCAGAATCTAAGTCATGAAGTCCACCTTATCACAACCCGCACACCTGATTACCTATATATACATGAACTTACGGTTACAGCTTAACGGCTGGCCTCTGTAGCTCAGTTGGTTAGAGCGCTGCACCGGAATCACAGGGCCGTAGGTTTGATTCCTACCAGAGGACCTTGTGCTGCATTTTTCGCAGTCGTTCCTGGTTAGGTCTTAAAATGTATATATTCTCACTTGGATTCCAAACCCTAACATTCTAATATTAAGTATAACATACCAATATACAGTAATATTTTGAAAAATCAAAATATATGCTGCCTCGCAACAAACTCTCCTAAACATAAGCTCACTATAAGCACACAAATATTATTCAAATTTACAGTATACTGTATCATAAGAAAAATAAATACAAAATTGGAAACATGAATTTCCATAGCCTGCATGGTACAAGTGATTCAGGCAGACTACATAAAAACATAATACATGATATACATATAACTATACGATCTCTCCCCTTTACGAGTAGAATAGGCGTTCGACAGAGTAGAGTATTAAAGTTCCAAATCATTTTGTTTGAATTACTTCACCTATCTATTTGTTTTTATGTATGGTAGATTCTGTGGTATGAACACTTGCAAAATTACTCAAAAAAATTTAAAATATGTGACATTATGTTGCCTTGACAACACTTGACACAACGTGAGCCTGCGTTCAGTGCTGGCCAATTGCTAATAGTTCATGTTAAATCAATGTTTGGAAAATATAGGCAAAGGGTTGCTGCATGCATTTATTTCTAGTTAAATATTAATTGGACATGCTCATGTCACTAGTGGTATTCATTATATCTTGGTCAGACAAAACAAATTCCACAACCCACAGGTTAAAATAGACATCTTGTGAATTATATCACAAACGATTAATAAATTTTTGCTGCAGCAAGCACAGATTCACCAGAAACATGTAACCTCATGAGTTTACACACCCCAAAACAACACTTTCCTAAAATGATAGCTTTCCTGAATCATTTAATTTTATAACTGGACTTAGCTGATCTGTTCTTATAGTTTTTATATTTTTAGACTTTTTGTTATTCAAGTTTGAAACAAGACCAAGATTGGTAGCGTTTAATTTTGACAATTTAAGAGAATGTAGTTCTGCATTACTGTTTTTCTCTGTATCTCATCCTTAATAAGCCTACCATTTTTAAATTTCAAATTGCCTCTTTCTTTCCTCTTCTATATATTAATAGTTTTTCTTTGGAAAATATCAGTAATCATATTTCTAATCTGTACAGTTCTGTTCCTACACACC